GTAATGATATCTGACTCAGTGTAGTGGCTTTCATAACTTCTATACCAGTTTTGGTTTCAGTTAAATATGTTGCAGAAAGACTACTCGCGTCATACTCTTTAGCAACGCGATGATGTAGTATTGGGCTAATAATCAACCAAAAATTACATATAATACTAACGACGCTAATACTAACTACGTTAATATTTAGCAAAGCTAAACATTGCAGCAATAAACCTAATAATCATCATTATTTATAATATTAACATTAAAGCTGAATAATTTAAAAACTGACAAATTTGATCAAAGTTGGGTACGCGTGCTACAATTTGACCGTTTTATTGCTGCAAAAAACAATTTAACGGTAAAATCAGTAAATGACGATACAGTCTAGCAGGTAGTTCAGAATTAGTTTTGCTATCTAAATTAGTAAATGGTTTACTTCGCAAATAACAATACAGGGTGACTTAAAATTAGCGTCATTCCTCTGGAGGTATATGGGGGGTGTTTTAAGAGTACAGGCAAAATAGTGAAAACAATTAATCGTTAATAAAAAGGGGTATATTTGCAAAAAGCTAAAACAGAAGGATGGCAACAATGTTTTTGAAATTAATCTGCCTATTTAACTCTACGTTAATACATGTTGTTTTTTTATTACTACAAAATCTAGAAACCAAGAAAAGCAAAGAAAGATAAGTTACAATGAAATACTTTGAGGTTCGGATAACGTTGTCACATTGCGGTCAGTTCTGCCCACCTTTTTGGGGCAAATGAGTGGTATTAGGCATATGCAATCCGTCACAGCTGTCATCAAAAACATCCTGTTAAAGATTATGTGTCACTGACCAATATCGATCAAATAACATACAATTAAGTTTAAACTCACAAGAGAGGTTTGACGTTCTGCCCCGTTTAACTCCAACCAGGTCTTGGCAGCAGTCTGGGCTCACATTTTGAGCAGCTTCTCGTATTCGCTTAATTAACTCCTGCTCAATATGTACCGGGGTTGAGCAGATCAGATATATAATTTGTTATTGGGTCCTGTGTATCTTACAGACATGCAACATGGTAGGAATGTAGCTCTGCCTCGTGGGAGCTAAAGGGGCACTTATCCGATGGCTCAAAAAGGGTCAGTTGTCGTGCAATGCTTCGAGTACCCCTGAAGGCTCAGCTGCAATTATCTCCAATACCTGTTCCTCTAGGTCTGGAACCCGAGTATGTCAAGAACATACACTAACTTCGTCAATTCCTGGAGCCATTTATCCAGTGTCTCTAACCCTTGGCTGGTCTAACTTACTTACAGTTTCTGATTACGGTTACTGTGGCATTTACCGAGAACTAATCGCATATTCGCAAATTCGATGTTGCTGTACATTTTGTGAAAGGAGCTTCAAAGTAAGTCACAGTTTGATAAATGCTTGTTAGTATTGACAAAGGCTATCAACCTGTAACTATCTGTTAATGGCAAAAAACATCAGCGCCCCTTTGACTTTTTGTCAAAAAATTGTAGAAGCGTGTTTTTTACGCTATATGATCGCAAATTTTCTTTACAAACGGTCAAGTATTCCAATAGGCCACCAATGAAAGATGGGACATTTCAAAATAATACTTAATAACAAAGTTGACATTGGATCTTCAACTGTTAATATCTTCTAGAAATTTTCCAAAAAAAAAACTGCAATATTTTTCTCGTCCTCTCCAAGTGAGCCTGTATCACCCCTTAAAAGGAATGACGCCAGATTTGAATCACCCTGTATACTGGAGCAGTTATGGCAAGTGATAAAATAGCTAGTTCTAATACATGTAAAACAGATAGTCCTCTAATAACTAATACTTGGTTATTAACTTTTCAAGTAAATCGTTGCTTAGTTGTTTCTCACTTACTTTTTCTAAATTGTTTCCAGATGTATTATTTCGATCGACCACCTGACAAATTGCCAACAGAAAAATATTGCTTTACTTAATGTAAGTGTTATTATATAGTGTTATCTGCAACAAGTACAAACTAACGCCCTATAGTTACACTTTCTGCCAAGTTTGTGACGTAATATTTATTATGTTATTACCTCTTGAAAACGTTATAACATGTTACAACACAACAACAAAAATTTACTAACATCAATCTTCCAATATCCTTCTCTTGTTGGAGTTTCTGTGTGTTTTTTTTCAAGTAATAGCATCATTTTCACATAGCATCTCTAAATCGTAACCACCATTAT